GCTTCACGCTGGACAAGGAGAGTCACACGCTAGGACTGCTTTGCAAGGATGTCACCTTAGTCATCGCCTTTGACACGAGGGAGCGCCTTCTGCAATGGCAAGTCAAGATGACCACGACGCTCGGGGATGGTGAGGAGATGTTGTTGTTGTTGTTGTTTTTGTTTTTGTTTTTGTTGTTTAGTATTTTTTTTATTGTATTGGGATAAAAGGAAGAGATAGGTAAGGGAAGGAAGAGAGAAAAAAATAAGATAGGAAGAGAAGATATGTAAAAAAGAAAGAAAAGAAAAAGAAGAAATGAAAAAAAGAAAAGAAAAAAGAGAGAAAAAAGAATAGATAAATAAAATAAAGAAAAAAATAGTTTTTTGTTTCCATTCTTTCTTTCTCTCCTGTTACAACCACAAACAAAAAGGAGATAAGTGTTAAGACAGTAATTTCTTTTTTATTATTTTATTTATATTTTCTGGTTTATGAGAAAGTGATTTATTTCTTTTTTTTTTTTGGGGGGGGGTGGATTTTAAAATTTTTGTGGTTAATTCTAATTTTATCTTTCCTTATTGTGGCCTGCAGCGCGTTTGGAATTTTATTAATATTTTTGGTGCGTCATTGCAATTTGATTTATTGATTCATTTATTTATTTTAGTAGAGATCTTGATTTCATTTTAAGAATTATTTTTTATTTTTTATGGGATTGTTTTTCTTATTACTGTTTTTCTTTTTTTTCTTTTCATATTCCTTTTTTTTTCCCATATTTTTTATGTGTTTAGCTTCTTCTTCTTTCCTCCGTTATATTTCAATGATTAATGTTTCATTTATTATTATCTTTATTTTACTGTATTTTCCCCTATTTTCACAAACATGAAAGTTTAAAAAAGGAAAAAAAAAACGTAAATAACAACAAATCTATTCTAACTGTGACTAATCCAGGTGTAATGACGTTGATTGTGTCTTTTGCGTGTGCGTGTGTCTGTTGTCGTGTCCTAACGTGTCACGCGTGTCAAGTTGGTCCTCGTGTTGATTTTTTTTTTTTTTTTTTTTTTTTTGTTTAATTAGTATGTTCTGGGAAATTTCTGTTTTTTTTTTTTTTGTATTTGGATAAAAGGAAGAGATAGGTAAGGGAAGAATAGAGAAAAAAAAAAGATAGGCATAGAAGATAGTAAAAAAAGAAGAAAGAAAAGAAGAAATGAAAAAAGAAAATGAAAAAAGATGAGAAAAAAGAATAAATAAATAAAATAAAGAAAAAAAATAGTTTTTTGTTTCCATTCTTTCTTTCTCTCTTGTTAAACCACAAACAAAAAAGGAGATAAGTGTTAAGACAGTAATTTCTTTTTTATTATTTTATTTCTATTTTCTGGTTTTATGAGAAAGTGATTTATTTCTTTTTTTTTTTTTTGGGGGGGGGTGGATTTTTAAAATTTTTGTGGTTAATCTAATTTTATCTTTCCTTATTGTGGCTGCAGCGCGTTTGGAATTTTATTAATATTTTTGGTGCGTCATTGCAATTTGATTTATTGATTCATTTATTTATTTTAGTAGAGATCTTGATTTCATTTTAAGAATTATTTTTTGTTTTTCATAGGATTGTTTTTCTTATTACTGTTTTTTTCTTTTTTTCTTTTCATATTCCTTTTTTTCATATTTTTATTTAATTCAGCTTCTTCTTCCTTTCCTCCAGTTATATTTTAATGATTAATGTATTCATTTATTTATTATCTTTATTTTTACTGTTATTTTCCCCTATTTTCAAAACATGAAAGTTAAAAAAGGAAAAAAAAAAACGGTAAATGACAAACAAATCTTTCTAACTGTGGCTTATATCAGGTGTAAATGACGTTGTGTCTTTTTGCGTGTTGCGTGTGTCATGTTGTCGTGTCCTACGTGTCACGCGTGTCAAGTTGGTCCCTCGTGTTGATTTTTTTTTTTTTTTTTTTTTTTTGTTAATTAGTATGTTCTGGGAAATTTCTGTTTTTTTTTGTAATGTTCAACTTTTATTGTTATATTTCTAGTTTTTTTTCCCTTTGTCTTGCGTTTTTTTCCTTCTCTTTTCTCTATTTCGCTATTTTTACTCTTTCTCCGTCTCCTTCCTTCCTCTCCCTCTCTCCTCCCTCTCTCTCTTTTTGGTTTTTCCTTCCCTTCACGCCCTATCTTTCTCCCTCCTTCTTCATCTCTTCTTCTCCTTTCCCAACGTATTATTCTTGCCTTCTTCCACCCTCTTCTTCCCTCCTTCGCTCCTTCCTCCCATCCCTTCTTTTTTTCCTCCTTCCTCCTTCCCTCACTTGCTCTCTCCCTTCCTCATTCTACCTTCTCCTCTACGTTTCCTCTCTCTCTCCCTTTCCATCCTCCCTTTCTCTCTCTTTCTTTCTTTTCCTCCCTCCCACCCTTTCCCCCCTTCCCCCCTTCGTCGTTCCTCCATCCTTCCCTCCCTTCCCTTCCTCCATCTTTCCTTCCACCCTCCCTCCCTTTCCACCCTTGCCTCTCTCATTCCCTCACTTCCCTTCCCTACCTTCCCTTTCCACCCTCCCTCCCTCCCTTCCCCCTTTTCTACCTCCCTTCCCTCTCCCTTCCCTTTCCTCCCTTCCCTTCCCCTCCCTTCCTTTCCTCCCTCCCTACCCTCCTCCTTTCCTTCCCTCCCTCCCTCCATTTCCTCCCTTTCCTTCCTTCCCTCCCTCCCCTCCTCCTTTCCCCCTCCCTTCCCTAACTTCCCTTCCCTTCCCTTCCCTTCCCTTCCCTTCCCTCCCTTTGCACCCTTTCTACCCTCCCTTCCCTCCATCTCTAAGAAACCCGCACCCTCTCTCCGTTTCCCAGGGACGTCCGAGCGGTCCTGTCGAATCAGCTGTTTTCGAAAAAGTGACGGGACTGAGATCAGCTGATTGAGAGATTAGAAATTAGAAGGTTATGATTGGTGATTGGTTGGCCGGGGTGGTGGGGGGGGGGTAGGGGGGGACGAGGGGAAAGGAGTGGGGGGGGAGGGGAAAGTGAGAGGGAGGGAGGGAGGGAGGGAGGGAAGGAGGGAGGGAGGGAGGGAAGGAGGGAGGGAGGGAGGAGGATTAGTGATTGGCTCGCTTTGGTGGAAGATTTTTTGCTGAGTCATGCTGGGTGTTAAAAGGGTGGGTGGTAAGGGGGGGGGGGGGTGAAGAAGGAGGAAGGGGGTAAAGGGGGGGGTTAGAGGAATGGAAAGAATGGGGGGGGGATCTAAGGATGTTATTGACTTTGTTGTTAAATTATTATCATCTTCATCATCATCGTCATCATCATCATCATCATCGTCATCATCGTCATCGCCATCATCGTCATCGTCATCGTCATCATCATCATCATCGTCATCATCGTCATCGCCTTTATCGTCATCGTCATCGTCATCGCCATCATCATCATCATCGTCATCGCCTTCATCGTCATCGCCTTCATCGTCATCGCCTTCATCGTCATCGTCATCATCGTCATCGTCATCGTCATCATAATCATCATCGTTTTCATCTCCAATTTCTTAACTTTTCTTCTTTTTCCACTTTACTTTTCCTTTTTTCAGCTTTTTCATCTTCTGTTTGTTTCCCTATTTTCTTTCTTCTTCGTCCTTTCTTTTATTCCTTCGTCTCTCTTTTTCTCCTCTCATTTATTTCTTCGATTTCTCGTTTTCCTTCTCCCTCTTCTTCATCCTCTCTTTTATTCCTTCTTTCCTCCCTTCCTATTTCTCTCCCCTCCCTCCCCCCTCCCTCCCTCCCTCCCTCCCCTCCCTCCCTCCCTTCCTCTTTCTCTCCCCTCCCTCCCCTCCCCTCCTCCCTCCAACTTTCCATTTCCCTGACATTTAGTCTCTCTTTCTTCTCCCCTTTCTCTCCTCTTCCTCTTCCCCTCCTCTTCTCCTCTTCTCTCTCCTTCCCCCTTCTTCTTTCCCCCCCCTTTCTCTCCCCCCCCCCTTGGATTAATACGGCTGAGGGAGGTATAGTGTTCTATAGTGGTTATAGTGCCGTTGATTGTGTCTTGAATTGGAAAGTGGTTTGATTATAGTGCCACAGTGCCAGAAGTTGCCAGTGGATGAATTATAGTGGTTAGGGTGCCATCGATAGTGTCATACATTCTGGTAGGATTTTGGATAGTGTTTATAGTGCCAGGAATACGGGAAGAGACTTGGGTATATTATTTTTATGGTGCCAGGAGTTATAATGGTGATTACAGTGTCATTTTTTTAAATACTTGCCTATACTGACAGCAGCGAGTGTCGTGAAATATGGTGGTCACAGTGCCAGAGGCGAACCGACGAATTGACTGCAATGATTTCAGAGTCATCGATGGTGCCACGAGGGGGGGAGGGGAGGGGGAGGGGGAGTGACTAGCGGGGAAGGGGGAGTGGCTAACGGGTGTCAGAGTGAGTGATGGATGCCTCCTTCGTGCATGGGTGCCACACGCATCAGGTCGGGTGGCACCTTTGCGGTTTGTCTTTGGCGCTAGTGGATCGTGGGAAGGAGTGGGGGGGGGGTGATGGGGGGAGGAGGAAGGAAGGAGGAAGAGTGGGGGGGGGTGCTTGCGAGGGGGAGGAGAGGAAGGAAGGGGGGGTGGGGGGGCTGGAAAGGTAGGATAGAGGTAAAGGTTAAGGGGGGGATAAGAGAGGGATAGGGGGGAATAGGAGAGAATAACAAATAAATTGGATGGTTCTTGTATATATATTTTTTTCACATACCTCTTTCCCCCATTTCTTTCTTTCTTTCTTTCTTTCTTTCTTCATTTTTATTTCACATCTCAATATCAAAACCGACTAACGCAAAGTTCTTCTCTCCCCCCCCCCTCCCCCACAGAGCAACAGTTCCTGGTACAGGTGTTGCAAGTGCCGGCGAGGTCCCGCGTTGCAGCGGGTCCGGCGCGCTTGCACGTGCGCGACCACCGCTTCTGCTTGACCACAGGCACCCCCCCGCGCCTGCTTGCTGCTTGGTCCACGCACGATCTCAGGTGGGATTGTTATTGGTGTTTTTTTGTATTTCTGTTTTTATTTTTGTCTTTGTTTTATTTTCCCATTTTCTTGTTCTTCTTTCTTGTTTTTTTTCTTCTTTTTCTTCTTTTTCTTCTATTTCTCCTCCTAATCCTCCTCATCTCTCTCTTTCCCTCCCTCCCTCTCTCTCTCTCTCTCTCTCTCTCTCTCTCTCTCTCTCTCTCTCTCTCTCTCTCTCTCTCTCTCTCTCTCTCTCTCTCTCTCTCTCTCTCTCGCTCTATCTCTCCCTCTCCCTCTCTCCATCTCTCTCTCTATTTCTCTCCTTCTCCCTCTCTCTCTCCCTCTCCCTCTCCCTCTCTCTCCCTCTCCCTCTCTCTCTCTCGCTAAAGGAAGATAGACATAGAATTTGATAAATAATCAGCCTATAGATACAGACAAATGAAACCTTTCAACCCCCTTTCTCCCCCTCCCCCCCTCAGGCGCTACGGTGTGGTGGACGGGCGTGTGGTGTGGGAGGGCGGAACCCGGTGTGGGCGGTGGGCGGGCGTGCACGTGGCTCTGTCCGACGCCCCCCACGCCGTCACCCACGCCATCGACCAGGCCGCCCGTGGGTTGCTGGATAAGCCCCGGGGTCGGCCGCCCACGGGGACAGGTACGTCGGCTCTGCTGTTTTTGCGGGCGGGTTTTAAGTATTTTTTTTTTTTTTTCTAGAGCTGTATTTTTTGCTATTGTTGATACTGTTTTATGCTTTATTTATTTGTTTTGTGGTTATTGCTTCTATATATTATTGTTTCTTGTGGATAGTTTTGTTGTTTTTAGATTGGTTTTAGTGTTCCTCTTATCAGTGAATGAGGCAGAAGCCTTTTCCATGTCCCTTCGCTCGCTCACGAGTCCGAGTCCTGCCGCAGCGCCTGACCCTCCCCTCCCCCCCCAGGGTCGCGCGCCGAGAGCCGCGCCGAGCTCTCGTGGCTTCGCGAGGTGAGCGTGCTGGACCTGAGCAGCGAGACGGCGTCGCTGGCGGCGTCGGAGATGACGTCGGGCGCCGCCGCCACGTCCCCGCGCGACCCGCTGCCCGACGCCGCGCCCGACGCCCACTTCCCGGACGCCCACGGCACGCCCTGGCCGCCGCCGCCGCCCTGGAGCCGCCGCGCCTCCTGCCAGAGCCAGTCCGTGGGCGGCTGCTCCGCCTCCACCAGCGCGGGCGCCGACTCCGACGAGAGCGCGTGGTGGGCGGCGGCGTGGGCGCGCGGCACGGCGTGGGAGGGCGTGAAGGCGCCGCCCTCGCCCACGCCGGAGTCGCTCTACGACCACCCGCGCCCGCTGGGCCTCGCGCACCCCTGCGCCGCCGCCCCGCCCGCGCCCGCGCTGCCGCCCTCGCTGCCGCGCCCGCCCGACCCACCGCGGGGCGCCCTCAACCCCCTCGACAACTACGACGTGCCGCCGCCACCGCGCGTGCCGCCCACGGCCCACTACGACACCCCGCGGCGCCTCATCATGTGCGATACCGGCGCCCACGTGCACGACGGCGGCCTGGTGGGCACGCCCGACGCGCCGCCCGCGTCCGGCGCGTGGTGCGAGGGCGGCCTGGCTGCGGCGCCCGGCTGCGGCCAGATGCTGGGCTGGGCGGGCTCGCTGGTGTGCGGGCGGCGCGACGAGGCCGACGCGCGGGCGGAGCAGCTCAAGGTGGACGGGCACGGGCGCATGCCGGTGGTGGACGCCCACACGGGCACCATCCTGCGCCACCCGCCGCCGCCGCCCGCGCCGCAGCCCCCGCAGCAGCAGCAGCAGGCCTCGGCGGTCTACGCCGTGGTCAACAAGCGCAAGAAGACGGGCAAGCCGCGGGCGCCCACGCCGCCGCCCACGCCGCCGCCCACGCCGCCGCCGCGCCACCACGCCGCGCCCGCGTCCGCCAACGCCAACTACGAGAACCTGGAGTTCGCCGCGAGTCTCCCGCTCTACGAGAACGTGCGCGACGTCAAGACGGCGGCCGCCGCGCAGCCGGGCGCGCCCGTGCGCCTGCAGCCCGCGGCCGCCCCCGCCGGCTGCGCCTGCCACGCTGCCGCCACGCCCACGCCCAGCCTCGTCTCCTCCACGGCGTCGTCCGCGTCGGCCGTCTCCGCCGGCGCGCCTCCTCAGGGCCCCCCGCAGCGCCTCACGCCCACGTCGCCCGCCGCCGACGCCGCGGGCGCCGACGACCACTATATGGCCATGACGCCGCGCGCGCCCGCCGACCCGCACTACCTCCCGATGGCGCCGTCGCTGCCGGCGGCCGCGCTGGTGCCGTGCGAGCCGCCCGCGCCCGCCCGCGGCAGCGACCGCAGCCGCTCGCTCAGCATCACGGAGACGCGCTGCGGCCGCTCGCAGTCCGTGGCCGCAGGCGGCCGCTACGTGGCCATGGCGCCGCGCCGCTCCACGTCCGCCGACTCGCGGCCGCGCGAGACGTGGCCCTCGTCACCCGCCACCACGCCCACGGCCACGCCCACGCGCCGCCTGCCCGCCTCGTCGTCGCTGCGCCGCCGCGACGCGCGCCTCAGCTCAGAAGCGGCGACGGACAGCGGCTGCGACCTGCGGCACGATAGCGT